ATTATTACATCTAATAATAATAATCATCATCATAATAAACAATCGTGCTTAAAGAGCTTTTATTTTGTATTTTCTAACTTCCGGTGTCGCAGGCTGTGACGCAGACACGTGACCAACACGTTCCGAGCGGTGACGAGTTACTTCGACAATCTTCGGCTTTTCTCGGCTGCTCGTTTTCTTCCTCTACGCTGACTGTCCCTGACTGCACCGCCCCCTGCGGACGAGCAGAGGAATTATTATAATGGAACATGGGTCATCACTAAAAGATCAGTAGATTCATAAAATACACAAATAAAGTTTTATTATAAATCATAATTATTGTAATTTTGTTATAAGTTTGTTTATTAACATGTTGAGTTCAGTGTCACTTTACATTTTTGTGTCAGTTTTATATAAAACCTGATTTACATCATTTTGATGCTGCTTGATTTTCAAACTGCATTTTCACACAGAAGCCTCTGAAATAAGATTTAGACCAAAGCACAAAAAACACACAAATTACAAATTAAAGTTGTTTTTTATTAACACGATTAATGATTATTGTTTTATCTTTATCAGTCAAACTGCAGATCAGTGCTCAACCACACAAACATGCACAAAGTACACACAGACACACACACACACACTCACACAACTGTATGGTGATAATGGAGAATGCATATTTTACACACAAAAAAATAAAATAAGAAAACTGTGTAAAAAAAACGAACAAACCCTTTAAACTGTCATTTTGTCTTCAGACTGAAATGTGAAATAAAAAGTGAACACAACATTTGTCATAATCTCTGTTCCCTTGGCACTGAGTGTTGTTGTGTGCAGACCGAGACGCAGGACAGTGTTTTCAGATGACTCTTGGTTTTTAATGAGGATTGTGTTGACTTCTCACTTGACTCAGCACACGCAGGTTGTTTTTGTTCCTGGTGTGAAGCTGCAGCTGTTCTTGTGACGTCAGCTCATACAGACTCATCAGTGAACACTATGACTCTCACCTTAGTATTGTGGTAACTCCATTTTTGTGTGTGCAGAGTTGTGTAACTGTATCTAAATCAAATGTGTGTATAATGTTAGTATCTGTAAATGTGTATTGAGATTTTTTTCAGGTGCAGACAAATCTACAATGTGTGTTCATAGATGTGAACGGCTGAAAATGAAAAGTATTATCTTCACATTTCACAGATTTTTCTTCACCTGCACAAATATCTTATCGAAACTTCATCAGATCGAGATTTGTGATGATTTTCATGTTTGGGCAGATTCAGGTTTTCCTCTTATCTCAGTCGTGATGACGCATTAATTTAGCCTCAGATCCAAGATGGACCCTACAACCAGATGAGCTCGCTCCAGATATACTCAGAAGACATGCTGTTGCTATGACAACGAGAAAGACGAGTATACGGGGAAGCACCGTCGAGCTGCACTGAGAGGAAACCGGTGGTTTGTCTGTTGCTGCAAGGGCACAACCCTGGATCCTGCAGTCCTGGAAGTTACTCTGCTATTTATAGGATGTACTGACTCTCTCTCTCTCACACACACACGCTGTTCTTGTTGACATTGCATTGGACCACATGCATCCAATAATCACAAAGAACAGAATGTTTTTATTGCCACAAAATTGGACATGTGATGGTGAACTGTTTGTTATTGAAACACAAAGAACTGCTAGTGTCAGGATGTACGGATAAGCACAAACATAAATACTCCAGAGCAGACGAACCAGAGCCCCGACCCGTGCTGTAAAGGTTCAGTGTAAGATTTAGGTGAATCTTATATATACGTATNGGCAAACTCCAGACTGGACAAACTAAACCTTTTGAGTTTTTATGACAACTGAAGTTCACCACAGGTTCTCTTACATGTTTGGAAGGAGAGGGTGAGATGAGGGGGTATTCAGCTGCAACAAGCAAATTCACCTCTAGATGTCACTAAATTCTACACATTGCCTCTTTAAGCCGTTCATATTTGACGATACAGGAGGGTCTCAGTCTGGGCTGCCATTTTCTCTGCTTGATGGTTGTTACGTGCCGTGTTGTGTTTTCTCTCTGCTCTCTCTCCCCAGTGTCCATTCAGGTGCCTCTCGTTCCCCTGCAGCTGCAGTGTGAGTGTGCAGGGCTGAGCTCAATCACCAATCAAGGCCGCGGTGGCTAAGAGGCAGCGAGAAGCTGAACCCCCGGCCCCAGTGGGCCGAGGGACAGCGTCTGATCTGTGTGTTAACTGTGGTGCTCTCTTCCGTGTGCTGTTGTTGCTAGTGTGACCAGTTATTTTCTGTTGTGGTGAGTTTACTTGTTATTGGTGTTTGTCAGTGTTCCTTTTCAGGAAGTGGTTTTCAGATTGTTATTGATAAATTACTCTTTTGTTCAGTTATAAGTTGCCTTGATTCTCTTTCCCTGGGTTATTTGAATTGTTGCTCCCCTCATCCCCTGGACTTAAATCAATTAAAACCCATGGATCTAAAGATTAAGTAATGAATGTCTGTAAAAAGCCAGGTAATGGTTGTGTATTTTCAGTTTAGACCAAAGTGGTGGAGGCTCCACCCCCAGGAAATACTGGGACAAACCTGAAAAACATTGAAGCCGACAGACACTGAAGAACCGCCCCAGACGTGCAGCTTGATTCACGTTGAAGGGACAGTTGGGTCTTGGCGGAGGTTTAAGTTCCTCTGAGTCATGTTCTGTTTGTTTCTTTAACCAGAAATAACCACCGAATGTTTCAACACGTTCAGCCGGCAGCTCAGATCTGAACTTTGGTTTCTTTTCTTACTCGAATAACAAACCAGGAATCTGAACCAAGACTTCATGTCTCAATCAGTCTGAACAATTTCCAACTGACACAAATGTTTAATTTAGTCAAAGGGAATAAATCTAGATGTTGACAAAGATGCACACGTATTAGATCCTCTGTTCCCAACATGTTGAGGTTATGGGAGCTGTTTCTGCACAAAGGTTAGATCGATCAGGAAAATAAAAACCCCTACGTCAGCCACGACAACTCAGGATGTACTGTGGATTTATTGTATGTGCAAATTCTTGCAAGAGGCAATTCAGGTGCAACAGGAATGGAGCCCAAGACACAGTAAACTGTATATGATGCTACACCATTAGTGGGTTTGTGTTAGTTTGTTGTGTGCGTGCATGAACAGTATGTGTAAGACTTTTCATGTTCGGAATGTGCAGCAGTGTGTGTTTGTGCGTGAGCCATGATGCTGTTTGTCCACACGATGTTCAGAATGATTTGGACAGTCAGCTGAGAGGAGCGAGCCACCGCTCGGAGGAGGATCGCTCTCTGTGCTCGACCCAAAAAGTCTCGTCTCTCACTTTCAGGGACAAGCTGGAGAAACTATCACACGAAATAAAAACACATTGACATCTTCAAGTTCCCTAAAACAGCAGACATTCAACTTTTAACTGTGGTTTTTATGTACAATAGAAGGATCTTCATATATTAGTATTCTTCATCTTCACTGCTTTTCCTTCACTTACTCGTTGTCAAGTCATTATTTCATACACATTTGTCCTTTTGTATTTATAGAGTATTTTCAGTATTTACAGTATAAATTACTACACAGTCTTGTGATAAAATAAATAACTTAAATACAATGGCCGTGGCTTTTGCAGTGTCTTTTGCATTAAGGAGAAAAGGGAGGGATGGGATGAAGGGGGGGGCTGAAGAACAGTAGAAGACTTTGCTGCTTGTCCCTTCAGGGTTATAAACTGAGAGGAGAGTTGGAGGTGAAACTTTATTCTCACTGTGGTGTGAGTTGGGAAACTCTCCCTGAGGACAGAGCACAGTGTGTCCTGCTGACCAACCTAAAAACATCAGGATTTTACTATTTAACAGATTCATTACTACAGATGTTAAAGAATAAATGCTGCACTGTGAAATCTAAAGTTTCATTATGTCCAAAAGATGTTTCTGCTTTTGAGTGAACGTTTATTAAAATCATAAAAATCGGGCTGATGAAACGAACCAACCTAAATATTATTTATCTTTTTAAAATAGTTTTATAATGGCTACGATAGAGTGAAGAATACCTTGAAGCCATGTTGTGTATATGTCCAGTGCTGGTAGCTACAAGAACAAACACTGAGCAAAGCTAATTGCTAACTAGCTGACGCTCTACATTGAAGTATTTGTTATTGTTCCTCGTGTCACGTTTATCTGCTTTCAGAAGAATTTCCCAACAAATGGACACAACTGTGAGAGTAAAGTTCAGGAAACTGAGCCCGACAGATGAAATATATTGAAATCTGTGTGTTTGCCAAACTGAAAACTTATATTTTACAGAATTAACAAAGCGGAGAAGATGTGCATTTATGTTAATATTATATGGAAAGAATTACAGAATTTTACAATGCTTATTGTCTTAATTGAAGTTCTATATATTTGGCTGGATTTGTGTTTTTTTATAGTTGCTTATAATAATAATGGTTAAAAATATCCAACCTCAATGACATTTATTCGTCATGACTTTTAAAAATCATATCTCAGGAATTATTTCATTATTTTGAAAGATAACAAAATTATTATTGTTATCAGCACCGGCCCCATATAATCCATACGGGTCGGGCTCTGACAGATTTCGGGTCATGGGAAGCAAAGAGAGTTACAGTGACGGTATAAGTGTGAAGTTGGAGGTCGGGCACGGTCTGACATATTCGAGGAGGAACGGAGAGAAGCATTGGACAGAAAAGAAGACAGCGAAGAACAAGGGAGGAGGTGGAGGGAGGGATGAGTGCAAAGCTTCTCCTCCAGCTATACGACTGTGCCGCTCGGAGAGTTCCCGTTCTGTGCTGTCAAGTTCTGAAGGTGAGACAAAAAGACAGAACATGAGGGAACGTTAGAGACGAGGGAATCAAGAGAATCTATAGTTCACTTTTGAGTGCAGAAGATAAGAAGCCATTGTTGCAGAGGAGAGGAGATATCATCTCCAGCTGTTGAGTCATTTATTAAACTTCTGAAGTCTGAGATAGCAGCAGAAACTCAAAATAACTTTATTACCGACCTGCACAGAAACTAAGTCCTGTTTCACTGAGGAGTGTAATAAACTAACATCTCACAATAAGTAGGTTAATTACAATGTCCTGAAAGAAGCCAAACCACAGAGGAGAAAAGTGGAATGACCCAATTTGAGAGTGAAATTCATCACTTTTATTTTAAGTGAATAAATATGAGAGAACTCAAAATAAAAAATAATTAAAACTATTCAATCATCACTGCATTAAGCGTCAAAGGCATATTGTCTCTGTTTGGCCTCATCCCGTTTTAACTTGTTTCAAATCTTTACATATGAATAATTAATCCAATGACTTTCTAATGAAAGAAGACTTGACTGAAGACGTACCGCCTTCCCCGGCCGTGCCCAGGTGCAGATGAGACCCTCTTGGCAGGCGGTGATGATGCAGTCGTCCATGAACACCAGGACGGTCAGCCTCTCATGTGCAATCTTCTTGCACACCAGCGGCTCCAGCAGCGGCACCTCATGCATGCGTGGGCACAGCGTGGTGCCCAGGACCTTAGCAGCGTCCAGCCGATTGCTTCTCGGCGCCACATTGATCTTGTCGTTGCTTTTGCTAATGTTGCCCAGGCTGTGGTAACGCTTGTGCTCCTTCTCCACCCCAACACTGCCCCCTGACTTGTCCGACTTGCGCTCCTGGAGCGACAGCGTGGCAAAACGGCCGATACTGAAGGGGGTGCTGTTTCCTCCGCCGCTGCTCCCTCCCCCTCCTCCGCCTCCCACACTGCCCTCCGAGGCCCCCTGACCCTTGGAGGTGTTTGCCACGGCGGGGTGGGGCAGAGAGTTGGAGCGTGATAGGGAGCGAGGGAGCGGTAAGGGGAGTGTCGGTGGGTTGGATGTACCAGTGTTGGTGTTAGGTGGGTGATGGTGCCCCTCAACCCCTCCACTTCCTCCCCCACCTGAGGTGCTGTTGACCACCCCACTGCCAGAGTTGGATAGTGAGGGTCCGAAAGTGTTAGTAAATGCGCGGGACAGCGGTAAGCGTGGGTACAAGACGTCATCCGTCAGGTCCCACAGACAGAACTGGGTGTCCTGCCCCACTGAGCCAAACCGGTACGTGACCGATGGCGTACCTCCACCTTTAGAGCTATGCCGAGAAAGACGCGACAACGTGCTGCTTGTTCGGACCCGGCCAAAGTGCATTGAGTTGTTTGGCGCCCCCTGGTGAAGGTCCTCCTCACTGCCGCTAAGCTCCATAGGCTCATCATCTTCCAGGGAGGTCGTGAAGGGGTCAAAAGCCACCACATTCACCCAAGACTTGTGGCCGTGCCCCCTTGCTACCACGCGGCTCTCTGCAAATGACCAGACAGTAACCAGGTCGTCCTCGCCGCCTGTGGCGAGGTATTTCCCATCTGGACTCCACGACACACACAGCAGCCCCCCAAAGTAACTCTTCATCACCCCCTGCAGCTCCATCGAGTCAAAGTGGAAGACGCGCAGGCAGCCGTCCTGGCCCACACACGCCACATGGACGCCATCCGGGGAGAAAGCAAACTCATTGAGGCCCCCTTCACCCACGGCCCATCGCAACAGCGGATTGCGGGGTGTCTTGGTTTTGCAGGCATAGACGGCGAAGCCTTCTCCCTGCCGCAGCAGAGAGTACTGGGGGGCTGTGGTGCCGCATGGGTGGTCCACGTTGTAGAGGTAGAGGTGGCCGCTGGCATGGGAGGCCAGGAACAGGTTCTCTGACTTGGGAAGCCATTTTAGACACGTCACCTTGGATTTGTCTATCAACCTCTGGAAAACAGGGAGGAGGCGGACAGGGAGAAAAGGGAGGAAAAGGACCGGGAAAACAAAAGGATAAGGAAAGAGATTTTTGGCAAAATAGATAAGGAGGAACAACAGAAGAGGAGAGAGAAAGAAAGGTGGAGGAAGAAATGGGTGGAAAATAATACGAGAGAGGAAAATAAAGATTTAAAGATGCAGGATGCATTCACATAGATTCTAGTTAAAATCACCTCATTGAAATACATAATCTAGAAATCTAAATCTAAACCACTGAGGGAAACATGAAAAAAGGAAGCAATAGAAGTGATGAGTCCGAAGAGATCGAGAAACAAGTGTGAGCTCCTAAATTTAATTGGGAATCCCATTAAAGAGAATCCCATTAAATGAAAACAGAGCGTTCAGGAGACGCAGTAAAAGAATGTGGAAACGACAAAGCACGAGAGGAGGGACAACACTGAGGACACTGTCGGAATGTTTAGGCTCCACAGAATCTAAAACAGGGCAAAAAAAAATCTGTGTTTATTTTCTATCAGGTTTTATGACAACAACACAAAGTGCTGAACCTTCGGCCACAACACAAAAGAACCTGAAACTAATATGATAATACCTCCTCGTTGAAGAGTTTACTGGTTTCCTTCTTAATGGGGTCGAGATACTGGACTTGTCCGGCTGAGAAACCCACGATGAGAGCGACGCTCTCCGCTGTGGCCGAGTACTGGTTGAAGTCGTGACACGTTGGCTGGGTCCCCTTGTAGATTCTCTTGTCTATTGGTTTACTGAGGTCCACAGCCTGCAGACAAAGTGGATAAAGACAAACATGATGCACAAGCAAAACATGGAGTCGAGTGAAAGATCAGGGAAGAAACACACTTTTCATCTATTGAGATCAAATGTGTCTCTCTAGAGTCAGAGAGGTTGATGTGTCTCTCCACCAGCAGTGGCCACAAAAGACCAGACAGCAACATGGCTGCAGGAGAACGTTTAGACTGTATGTTACTTGTCTGCCCATGAGAACAACGAGACACTGAGGGAAAGAAAACACATTTCACTCTTTGTAATCACTTCTTCTATTTTCGTCCTTTTCTAATGTGCTGAGAAATCCACATTCATGGCTCTGAGCTAATATACATTCTAAAAGAGTTAGCCGAATCAGGAATACATCTGTGGGCACAATGAGGACTGTGGAAATCACACAATGTTGGAAGAACATCAGGAAGGAATCTCTGAATGGATGTGACAGCTGAATGGATAAAGCTGGTTGCAGCTTTCTTTTCTTTTCTTATTTCTGAAACTGTAAAAGCGACGTGAAGTAACTGGACTCAATCCACAGAACCTGAAGCCACCGCTGCTGCACAAAGAGCTGTTGAGTAAAAATAAATCAACATAGTGACTAAGGGTTGTGCATCATATTGATTGTGATATGCATCTTCTCTCTGTTATACGTCTGAACTGTCACTTGCAGAGAGAGTCCTGCATCATCTACACCAACCTGCAGAAAGAATGAAGCCTGAACAAACGAAGTGTGTTTGGGGAACATGGAGGTTAATTCTACTAAAACCCAGAATAGAGAGTATGATTAATGTAAAAATGTGACAGACTGACAGTGTAAGACATTTTGAATTTTAGCCAGTTACAATATTTCCCCCATTGATCCCCGTCATGTTAGAGGAGGAGCAACTTTATATGTTTGTCCCCCAGAGCCTCCTAAATAGGTTGAGGTCATCCCTCTATGAGGAGCCAGAGGTGCTGTTTCAGCTTTTCAAGAACATCCACTGGATCGTTAGTGACGACGACACAGACTGTTCTTTATTCCACAGTCAAGAACATCTGAATCAAGATGTCACACTTGTAGAGTTGTGTCTGTGATGCGGAGAGAGATATTAAAGGAGTTTTCTGTATTAAAATCAACATTAACTTGTCTCACGTAAACCATCTGCTGCTGCTGGTGAATAATTCCCCTTCAGTGCAACTCACCAACCCCCCACTTCTCTCTTTCAATGTCCAGTATCCCTGAGGTCAGGTCTTTATCAGACAATCAGCTCCTGCACTGAGTGTGAAACTCCTTCAGGCTGGAGATTCAGAAGTAAAAACTCCTCAGTGTGCACACGTCATCAGAGTCAATTCATTCCAGTAATTGCAGCAGACCAGGATTGTAGAGTTGTTGTGCTGCACTTTGTTTTCATCTGTCTCTGCAGAATAACACAGAAACTACAGGACGGATTAGAACACGGACGGGTGTGATGTGTTGTCAGGGGAAGAACATTCATGAATTCTTCCTTTAAAGCTGTTTTTCTCAACACTTTGACTGATTTCCCAGAATGAATGGATCCTGATGAAAATACCCAAACACATTCAGAGGACTGATGAGTGAGTGTGATTTGGTGCAGCTTGGTTGAATGTAAGGGACAGTTTGGTGAAGATGTGTGTTATACTTGTCATTATTAATATTTGTACTGTAGGATTTTGTTGTGTTTTGTTGATATAACCCAGTGAGTACACAGAACTTGCAGTATAACCCCCCCTCTCTTCCTCTGTGAGTACAGTTACTGCATGAGGACACACAGCAGCTTTCATTTGACATGTTTCCAGAGGATCCAGCTGTCAGAGGCCGCTCCCTGCTCCCCTCACCCGGACACAGTGAACCTGCTCCCGGCCTCCACTCGCACACAGCATCCGTCTGCACCAGCCACATTCTCCCCATAGATCCGTTCAAGAAGCGTCCAACACGAGCAGAGACGCTCAGTTTAACCACAAACACCAGCTTCACATCAGCGGTGCAGGCTAACATGCTAAGCTAAAGCCCGACCATCCGATCTGTCGTCCCGGCCAAGAGGAGGAGGGGAGCGGGCTCACCTTCTTGATGTTGGTGTAGGTGTAGAAGTACAGCTCCCGGCCGATGTTGAAGCACACTCTCTCCGACTCCTCGCCCGGGTCTTCGGGCTGCAGTTTGACCATGGAGACCCGGACCGGCGGCAGGAAGCCCGCCGGAGAGGAGTTGGCTGCGGCATTGGAGGAAGAGGAGGCGGCGGCAGCAGCCCCGGGCCCCTGCAGCAGCCCGACCCCTCCGCCCGGTATCGGACCGGGTCCGGGCCCGGGGCCCAGCGTGCCTCCAGCGGACGGACCCCGCGGCAGCCCGCCCCGCTGCTGGGAGTCCGAGAGGGTGAGAAGCTTGTAGAAACCCTCCCTGGTCCGGAACTGGGATTTAATCTCATTGATATCCTTCAGAGCGCCGCCATCTCCGGCCATTTTTAGTGCATACAAGCCGCACAGGAAACCGAGGTTCTGACCTGGAAACAATAACGATGCAATTAAAAAGTACTAGAATAGAAAGAGGCGAGGCGAGCCGAGCTGAGCTAGGCCGACCAGCACACCCGGTCCGCCGCCGTGCATCTTACACCAGAACCGGCGACCGCACCGCTGCTGCCTGCTAAATGAACCCGGAGAGGAAGCCCTTCAGAGCCGGTGTGAGCATCATCCTGCACCGGGTCTGTGGCTCCGTTCATCCACTGTGCGTGAAGTACGTGTGACGCTGCTGCTGCCGCTGCTCCGACCCGGTGCCTGGAGCCTGGAGCCCGGTGCCTGACACTGATGAGTCGTTAATGGTAAAGATGATCCGGACACTCATGAATTCCACCTCCCGGAGAGAGTGCACCTCAAACAGCCACAAACTTTACTGTCCCACCTTCAGAACACAGCTCTGATGTTATCAGGTTCAAATCGGGTTCTCCAAACCTCAGGAGCCTCTCATTTTAATCAACTGTGAAAACGATCACTGTGATATTCACATGACTCATGTGGGCCTTTACTTTGGTAGCTTTCATTTTAATTTCAATTCATATCCTACATTCTCTCAAGGTACTTTAATGAGCAGCACTTTGGTGAATGAGACTCATTGATTTGAATAAACCTGCAGAACTACTGGAGCCGTCGTGTTTCAGCTGTCAGGCTGGTTTCATGGTGGAAACAATAAGAGTATTGAAGCTGTGATGATGTAGATGAGAGCAGCACCAGTTAATAAAGATAAGAAGACTGATGGATGGACTGAAGGAGGCTGTCATGACTCTGGACTCTGACTCTGTAATGAGAGTGTTGTCAGTTTTCATGATGATCTTTTCAGACTCTGGACTCTTTGGTTCTGGACGTTTTGCTTCTGGAATGAAGAGTGTTTTCATTTTTTATGGATCTCCTTGTGCATCATATCTGTCTCTGTTTATGTTTCGACCTTTACCTGTGCTCCCTTGGTTCCACTCTGTTTTGTTTTGTAGTTTCTGCTCCTGTGTGTTTTCCATCTTGACTTCCTGCCTGGATTAGTTTCATCTGTTTGTCCTGTGTCACCTGTCTCTAGTGTGTCCTCAGTTCACTGTGTATATAAGTCTCTGTGCTTCGCTTTATCTTTGTCTTGTCGTCTTATGCGTCTGTCCCACCACCCTGTCGTAGTTTCATGGTTGTCATTCCTTGTCTTCTTCATGCCGCCTCACGTCATCACCCCCGATCCTTCACTTCACTTTTCTTAGGTCTTTTCTGTTTAAGGATGTGTTTGTAAGCTACTTAGTTTCCTGTGCCTTTTCTGCTAACGGACTTTTCCTTATTAAAGGACACTTTTTGTTAAAAGTTTCTGCTTCTGCAATTCCTTGAATTGTGACAGAGGGTTGAAGTTGAAATTAGATGCAAATATGTCCTTGTTATGAATTCAGACCTGTTGTCATGTCCCTCTATTTGTCTTCAGGCTTATTATCTCCTACTTCCAGGTACAACCCGTGCCTGCATCACAGTGGCCGTGGCTGAGGGGGGAGAGCGGTCGACCTGTAACCAGAGAGTCGGCGGTTGGATCCCAGTTATCGCCATCTGCATGCTAAAGTGTACTTGGGTAAGACACTGAACCCTGAATTGCCAATCATAGAAAAAGTGATGCCCATAGATGCACTGTATGAACGTATATAAATATATATAGATACAGACCATTTATTTACCATTCATTTTACTTTGACTACTTTTTATTGCAAGACAGTGAAGAACAAAGTGAAAACATTTCTCTGCAGCAGTGAGATGTTATGTATGTAAATGATTTCCCCTCACGTCCCCTCCAAGATCAATACAGCTCACCTCATCTTGTGTTGATTAACTTTATTACTGTGTAACGGCAGGAAGAAGTGTGTTTGATCCAGACATTCAAACCCAGTTAACTAAAAAGAGTTACAGCTCCAGTCCTTTATTCTTTATGTGAAGTCCCTGCAGACACCCGCCTCATACTCAACAATACTGTGGCAGCTTCTTCTTTAGTCTTAGAAGACGACCAGCTCACAAAAATACGTAGGAGTGAGCACAGATCGAGGGACACATGCTGATACATTCCAGTCATCTAGAAAATAAAATCTTGTGGCAGTGATACGTCCCTGTCTGTGATGTCAGATGATCACAGACCGTAATGCTGGTGCCTCATTGTCCGTTCTCCTCCTTTTGACTGAGTCCCGGTGTCAGTATCCAAGTGGAATTGGGAGATTCCAAATTTTTCAGTCAGGAGAGTCAGGCCAGCAATAAGTAGTTCTCTGCATTCTCCAGGATGGACAGGTTGGACAGCCCCGACTGGTCGTCAGTCTGACGTGTCTCCAAAATGACCATCCTGTGGGGAGAAGGTCAGAGGATGTCAAGCACAGAAACACTGGAGTTTGCGCCTGCCTTAAAACATGGGCTTAAAACCTATGGAACAGTTATGAGAAGGACAGGGATCACATAAACGTATCTGTCAAAACAAACCTCAGACAGTTCCTCAGTAATAAAATCCAACATGAAAGACGTTGATCTTCCCTGATGAGACACTTTTTGTTTTGTTCTTAGCCATGAGGACGTTTGCTGATTTTGCTCGGCTAGTGTCAACCAGTCAGTGTCTCAACAGCTATTTCATGGATGGATGATCATTTTTTGTCCAGACATGCCTGATCCTCAGAAGATGAGTCTTATCAGTCGACTCTAGAGACCCTGGCAAAACATTTAACTATAGTTTTTATAAGTGGTTCTGACTAAAGACATGCTTTACGTGTCCCACTTGTTTGTAATAAACAGAAGCCACATTTTATAAGGAGACATGCGCTTTGACTTTTTAGTTCCGTGTCCCATCTGCTAACACGGAGGAGGCACAGTTTATGAGCTATACTGCAGCCAGCCACAAGAGGGCAATCTAGACACTTTGTCTTTACTTGGGGGGGCCATCATGTCGTCCATCTTTATTCTCAGTCCATGGTTTGAACAGACAAAGAGAACCTGCAGAAAGTTAATTAACAATTAACAACATTAACGCCACAGACGTTCAGTACCTGTCCGACTGCACCAATCTGTAGATCTTCCTCTTGTCTGTGGTTTCCTCCAGCACCTCGACGGAACCTTGTCCTTTCCTCAACCAGCCGTGACGCCACACTGCCAACAGCGTGTCCTCGAAATACACTAACCGGACAGACAAGAGTCAGCGCTGAGCTCAAATTTGACCATCGCTTTAACCATCGCTGGTTTGTCAGGAGACGTTCTCACCTATAGACTCAACATCACGAGAGAAGGTCGTCTCATGTGTCAGAGGCCTGCTGCTCTTCAGCTCCCCCCTCAGATCAACTATATGTACTGACTCTGTGGAGGAGGGAGGAGGGATATCAACCAGAATACGTCAGTGTGGAAACATGTAAGTGAACAGGTCATGAACAAATACACAACTTTAAAATCTTTTACAAAGACAGATTACTTCTGTTTCTGCGGCAGGATTCTTAATCTTTATCTGAATTCCAATCGTCCTATCAGGGATGCAGTTTTATCATCAGAGCCCCGGAGGGTCTGTTTACCTGACCGATCACAATACAGCACATTTTTAAGAATAAACATCAAGAAAATGAATTCCTCATAATAAAGATCACATCCATTTCTTGCTAAATTGTAATTTCTTTATATCTAATATCTTAATAGACACAATATCATAATACCTTGATATACTACAACAACAGAGTGGGTTTTATTTCTAATGTGTTAGATTTGGAGTTTAACACGAATATTTTTTTTTTTTATTGTTGAGTTTATCCAGCCTTTACTTTGTGTGTCTGTTTGTGTGTTTGTGTTTACATTTTCTTTGTATGAAAAGTGCTATACAAATTAAGTCTTGATTGATAATTGATGTAGTAATGACGTATTGATCTGTGCATTAAGATATTTGTGTTGTTTGTAATACATGGAGAAGTGTCGTCAGTACCACTTGACAGTTGTAACTTACTTTCTAGGAGGACGAGCAGTGAGTTACTGTCCAGCTGGTTTACTTGTACAATGTCTGGGCAAGGTTTCTCTGTAAGAAAACACACAAACACATGCGACAAACGCACACAGCAACAAAATTGTTAACATCAACAAAAAGATGATATTGTTTTCTGCTGTTTTCCTGTTAAACCTTTTACTTTGGTTGTTTTAAATGTGCTTTAAAATTGACATTGACATAAACTCTTTTCATTTACAAAGTTCTTCAGAGTGGACGTACCCAGGCCAGAGCTGGTGAACCAGGACGTGTTGGAGTTGAGGTTCATGTATTCTACATTGACTGGAATGTTGGGGCTGGACCCCCGAGACACACCGATACAGATCAGCGGGTAATCCTGCTCGGGCACCACCACCATCTCAAACACCCGCAGAGGGTTGGGCAGAGGGAAGTCGAAATGCTGCAGGCGTGGAAAGGAAAGTTGAGTCTAGTCTTCTTTGAAGTGTGTCTTTAGCTGTGTGGGGGTTTTTTTTGTTTCTTTCTCAGAGAGCAGCTCGTAAAGCTGCCACGTTAAGTTTGTGGTTTAAAGAGACTTAATCTTGCAACCTCAAACCCTTTAGCCACAGCTGAGAACATCAGTGAGTCTATTCTCTGGTCAAAGGTCCAAAACTAACTCATACATTTAATGGTGACCATAAAATGCTTTCACTTGCAGCAGCCATTTTATAAACTGCTGTCAGTGTTAACCGTCCAATAAAAAAAGCTAAAAGCAGCAAGAGTAATGAAGATAAACACACGGCGTTGTAACTTACATCCTCTTTCACTTCAATACAGTTTGTCATTACGCTCATTCAACTTAAAAATGGAGGCAACTAAACTTTACAGGAAAGGAAATTTATAACGTTTATACAAGAAAATGTCTTTTTGACACAATGTGAAGGAAGAAACTGATTTTCGGGCTCAGACAGCCTCTCCTCACTAACATGATGTCACAGATTCAATTCATGTCTGTCATCCTGAGGCTGTTTCCTTTTAAACAGCCCAGACTTAAAGAGTTGTACCTTTATGAGCATGAACTTGTGCATGGGCTCGTACCACTGCAGCAGCACCACGCTGGACTCCAGAGCACAGCACAGGAACACACTGCCTCGCTGCAGGCTGCCTGTTACAGACAGAATACAAGTGTCACTGCTTATCTCTCCGAACACTGCATCTGCAGAAATCTTTTTTTTAAATGTAGTTTACAACAAATATTTTACTACATTAAATATCTAAAGTACAACTGCTGCCGAGATCGATGACAAAAATATTGTTCTCACCGACTGAACACGTCTTGCAGCCTTTTGTATCAGGTATTTTACACGTCACTGCGTATTTCCTGAAGATAAAACACGTCATTCAGTTTCTTTCAGGCAAACTTTTGACAAATCAAACAAGAGAGAGAGAGAGACAGACAATGAAATTCAGGGTGAGTCCTGTGTTACCTAGGTAACAGTCTGTGAGTCGGCAAGGCAACCATCCTCTGGTCTTTCCGAGCCTGTTCGTACAACTCCTTCAGCGAATGGGAGTGAAGCTGCAGCGATTTACCTGCAAACACAGAATTAACTTCGACTCAGTTCATCTGAGGGTCAGGTAAGAAAAAAGAGAGAAGAGGAAGGTTTTATTTTTCCATTTTGAGAATAAAGTGGAAATGTTGAATAAAGATTTTTTTTTTCTCCTTTAACTTTTATAAATTATGTCGAGAACTAAACTTCAATATTTATCTTTTATCAAAAGTAATTTATTCTTTCAAGACATTTTTTTTTTTATTCTCAAAATGCAAACTTCCTCTTTTCATATCTTTCTTATGTATCTTACAACTGAAACCTCTGAGACTGAACAGGAAGTGTATGCTGACAAAACATTCAAAATAAATGAGGGTACTTTCTTTTTAATTTCCCTAAAATAAAGTCAAAAGGTTGGGAAATACGTCAGTATGCAGTAAACGTGCAGCACTGCCCAGTTTCAGCAACATTAATATCCAGATTTTGTTAATTTGACATTGACTCAAATATCTTGAACACTAATATGATCAAATCTTCCAATGAGACATCCAATCATCTTCTTTCAGGGAGCCTCCAGGTGACAGAGACGACTAAAAGACGGTCCAGTTTGTAAGTAACATCTTTTGTTTACCTGATACGGACATGATGACGTTATTGATGGTGTAGACCCAGGTACACTTCCCTGGATACAGCTGAAATAGAAGAGGACACATTGTTCACTGCTTCATTAAAGCTTCAGTGTCTCTATCCAAAGATCTTTAATAGTTGACTTTTTTTGGGAGAACTTTTGATCAAGTATTTTA